AATAACATATTCATCGCTGAATTCATAATGATTTTGACATTAATTATGTAAAACTAAACATATTTTAGTTAATAAATCGTATTTTAAAGTCAACTAATAATAGCTCACCTGAAAAATAACGGGTTTAAAAAGCATGTTAACAGATAACAATGTTAAGTTCAACAAAATAACAAAATAAAACAATGTTAATTAACTTTAATAACAACCATTGCTATTCAGATTGTTTTAAATGAGAGAGAGAGAGAGAGAGAGAGAGAGAGAGTTATTGAACCCAAATATTAAAATATTAGGAAATATCTGTTTGAAAATGTTTATAGCGTTGGGACAGAATATTCTGCAAAATATTCATTTGCCTGCCAATTAAATATAACCATGTTTAATTATATGAGTTATACGAATTCGTATACCTAATATGCATACATATACTGTGCATGTACAAAGTTAGAATCTTATAAACTATGAAATAAACTTAATATAAATTATGCTATAATTATTTAATGATTTGAAAACTTAAAACTATACAATTTTTTTACTTTAGACTATTTTGTTATATTTGTTATAAAATTTTTAATGCTATATAAATTACACAGTAAGTTATAATTGATATTAGATTTACCGTATGGGTAAGTTGCTTAAATTCAACTATGGTAAATATTAAATACATGTTTTAATGCACTTTATGTTTCCGATTGTACATTATATTTAGATATAAATAAATTTAAAAATTAAGTTAATAATTTATTCTTAAATATAAAGTAATTATCAAACACTTCAAAAGAATACAAGAACTTCTTCGCAATATTCTCTCTCTCTCTCTCTCTCTTCTCCTCCAATCACTCTCACTGTCTGTCTCTCAACACAACGCAANCACAAATGAAATGTTTGCAAAAAATGCTCGCAATTGTTGGCCACAAAAATGAATGCTTTGCTTCACTACTGTCTGTGCCGTTCACTGCCTTCCCATACCTTCCCATACATTCCTACATAGCGTACACTCTCTCTCTCTCTCACTAAATCTAACTATTCATACAATATTGTCAATGCATACAAAGTGTTGCCAATCATATGGGAATAAAATGAGAAAAACTTCAAATATACGTAAAATAGTGTGTTGTGCGGACACGAGAGGTCAGCCGAGCCATGCATTTACGCGCGTCTTTGCGTTGTGTTGAGAGACAGACAGTGAGAGTGATTGGAGGAGAAGAGAGAGTGAGTGTACGCTATGTAGGAATGTATGGGAAGGTATGGGAAGGCAGTGAACGGCACAGACAGTAGTGAAGCAAAGCATTCATTTTTGTGGCCAACAATTGCGAGCATTTTTGCAAACATTTCATTTGTGACTCATTTTAATTGTGTTGCAAATTGAGTGACAATTGAACTATAATTTGTTTGGCAAACAATTAATGGCTTTTCGAGAACTCATTACTCGTTCACTCATTGATACGATTCGTGACAATTGGAAACAATTCGTCTCCTGATAGCCAACATCACCGGACATCTGATCCACACATCTCTATATCTCTGTATATGTTGTCATATATTTGGCCATAAGTTTAGTGCAGTTTTTATACCCAATATTGTATACATTGTATATCTCCTGTCCATTCAATTGCCACTCATTTGTCACATCTTTTTCTTACGGTAAGTCTTATTGAATATAAATTTGAATCCAATCTATAATTGCATAGCATTTGTATCCAATGAGAGGGCAATACACGTGTCGACCAAACCTATCGATGCCTTTCTCTCTCGCACTCAATGTGTTTGATGTGAGCCCTCGTCACACATACCGGTGCTCTCATAGTCTCCCCCATAGCCACTGCTAAACCCGTACTCTTCTTGTCTTACTATACAAATCACTTTTTATGTCTATTTTGGGACAAATTGTCGAAAGAGTTGTAATTGATTTGCGACTGAATGCCATTAAACTAAAAGTTATGCCAAAAATGTATTAAAAATGCACAAAATATGTCTCCTTTTGACAAAAGCGATGCAAAAATGTGTTGCAAATTGAGATATTTTTAATTATATTTGATTTGTTTGGCCGTAAATACTTGCTTATGGATCGATAGCATATGGTATAGCTTATGGTATATTTGGTAGCATTTAATGCAAACTATTGTACGCTTTTATACCATAAGAGTGTATGTCTTTGCGATGGACTTCGCGGATGGCTTTACGTAATGATTTGCGAGATATTGAGTGCACTAATAGTTAATGGCATTAATACTGTTGTCAATGGCTCGCAATGTAAGAGTAGTTTAGCACACATTAGAAGAGATGTTTTAAATTACTTGTATTTTATTTGAGACACGAATATATACTTTTGGTAAACATTTTGTTTATTATATAACGATTACAATCGCAAGCATTGCATACAAACCAACATTTATTGCACTAAAACTTTATTTTTACACATATTTAGTGATATAGAAGTCATATAAAAAATCGATGTTTTTGAAAATTTTAATTAATATACGATTTCTGGGAATAGTTGGTAAACAAAACATGTTTTTCATTAAAATTTTGTTTATAGCAAACAATATCTGATGCCTTTGTACTGAACACCCAAACTATGATTAAAATAGTTATTATTAAACCAGTTATCGCTCGTTATGTTGTTTTTAAGTTAAATTAAATTTTTTTTAATGATGTTTATAATGTCTTTTTATAGCCAACGATATTATGATAATAAATATGTTTTTGTATACCATTTGGATAATTATATTCAATTTACAGCAATGTTTTTATAAATATTTTATATGTTTAGTCATTCAATAATGACTATCAATATTATAATTAAAGGGATTTGCATTCTTTGGTATCATATTTAGCCACAAATCGTTGGTTTTTTTCCAAACAGATATCGATAGCTGTTTAACAATTAATATAAATGTAATTTTAATAACGTTTATATGAGTAAAACATAATTTGTTATCTCGTATTAATTGTATTCAAATGTTTAGTTTCGTTGGTATTTTTGTTTCTCAACTTTTGTACTATAAATATAGTGTTTGACCGGTTTTATCCGACTATAACTCAAACCCCTTTCATGTCGAGTATTAAATGACCAGTTTTTTTTCCATTGAATTCATTCCGGACCTCATGTTTCAGTCAATAATACACTGTATTTGCATTGAATTAAATGGGTTTTCCATTTAATAGTTGTTTTAGTCGTTTGGCAAATATAGAGACAAAATTCATTATAAATTTGTTTACATTGATTAGTGTCGCGAATCGTGTATTAAATGTTTGATTTACTGCCAAATAATGAGACAATACTTTCACTACATTTCGTAAGAATGTGAACTCAATTCTTGTATTTTATACTTCCAGTGGATATTAGAAGTATTGCATCCTTTTTTCAAAGTATGTATTTTGTGTTTTTCCATAAGAATAAAAACTTTATTAAATCTAAAGTATTGAGGGTTTGGTGTTTAGGGCTCTCTAATCAGGTGCTCTACTTTTTTTGTGTATGTGATATATAATGTATACTTTGCCCCAGATGTAGGACAAAAACATCAAGATATAATTCTGGAGGTGTTTATCTCTCGTTGTATTTGTGCTATAATTTAATGGTTTTTTATATTTGTTTTGAATGTTTTGTCGAGTGTTTCGCAATTTCCTCTCTTATTCAACGCTTTTTATATACAATGAGTTATTTTCGAGGAATATATTTCTTAGATTAGATTCTTGTTCACCAGAATTGGCTCAACGTTGAAGAGTTGTATTTTGTTTTTTAATGATTATTTTTACTTTGATATCAGATATACGTAAACATTTGTGTTATAAACCCCTCTCAGTCTCCCTCTCATCCAAACAGATGTTATTCACTCTTTATTTTAAAATCTAATCTAATGTTTAATTTCTTGTTTTTAAAATGTTAAACAAAGAGATTCTCTTATTTTAAAGGTTAAGAATCTCTGTTACTGTTGTAATGTTATGTGATTCTGTGTTTAGGTTCGTTAAAAGCACTATAAAAAGTGATTACAAAAGTTATAAATGTTATTTATAATGTACCGTATTACCTGTGATTATATTGCATGCAATATAATGTCAATATCAGTAAAGGGGTGCAATATTATCTAGATTATAATGCACCTGATTTTAGCCCAATTTTAAATTTTATCAAAAATTGCCAAAAATATTTAAGTATTTAAACAAATTTAGTTTTGCATATAAAATGTGTAGACTTTTACCTAAATAGTAAAGTTTTAAAGTGTAAATTTATGGTCAAAAAATTTGTAACAATTTCCTGTCAAACACTATTTAAAGACAATAAAATGTCTGAGAATTTAGAATTCAACAAATGTAGGCACAAATGAAATGGTAGACATAGTTATGAGTTAAGACATGAGTGACAGAGAATTGAATTTAATATGAATTAGGAGTGAAATAAAATTCAGAAACACATTCGACTACATTGTATTAAATCAATGGTATCTAATAATGATAGTCTATCTGACCCTTGTCGGCTGAACCGTCGGGTCTGACCGACGATGTATCTGAACGCGAAAAATAATAGATTTTGTGGAATATTTCGCTACATTAAATATTTATTAATTATTTTTTAATTAAACTATTATTTAAATGCTGTAAATTAGTAAATACTGTAAATTATTTACGATGTGCAGTGAATTTGAGATAACATTGCATGCAATATTATCTCAATTTTAGCCAAGGGGTGCAATATTACCTAGATAATATTGCATATGATTCTGAAAAACACCATTTTACTGATATTGACTTTATATTGCATGCAATAAAATCACAGGTAATACGGTAATTATAATTATAAAATATCGTTTAACTTGTGATTAAATGCTTTTTATTATTTCCGACACAAATAAGAATTGCAATATATTTTCATTCATTTGTTTCACCAAATAATTAGTTTTTTTGCTATTAATTACTTTTGTGTGCCGTTTGGAGGCATAAAAACACTATTATTATGTAATATAAGTTATTTATTAATTATCGAGCGTTAGTTGTATTGATTTAATAGTTTGGAGAGTATTGTAAACTCGAGTTTCTATAGCACTCGTACTTTTCACGCAACTGTTCAATACATATGCGGTTTTCATATTAATTACACACTTTTTACAGTCAATTGGTTTTTTCATAATACCTACCTATGTATAGCAGACCAATGATGAGTGCAGTACTTATTTAATTCAATTGCAGGTATTTTATACATTTATTATATAATTTAATGAGATTTATGTGTGAGTGTTATGAAAGCCAAACGTCTTTGGCATCCAATCGTTATAATAAATTTTCTATGAGATGTGAGATAACAATAAAATACCGGCGTTTATGACATTTAAACACATGATCGCAATTGAAGGCTGGATTTACCACTACTTTAAAGTGCATTTGATATGTGTTTTTAAATTATTGAATTTAATGTGCGTTAATATGTTGTGTGTGTTTTGCGTTGCATTGATTGGTCCATACCTTTTGCCAGCGATTGTAAAACACGTCTAAACTTTTTGATACACTATTAAAGTATTTGACTTTTATTATAACCTAAACCTCGCCTCAGACTGAGAGCACGTTTTCATTGCCTCCTTCTCTCTCTCTTCCTTCGCATCCTTTAAATTCATTTTCAATACTTTTTATACATTTTAATGTTTCCGAAAAACCGGTACTTAAAGCTAGAGTTAACTCTTTTGACGAACCAATGAATTTGTTTTAAAGATTTCTTTCTTTTTTATTCCTCTGCAGTGAACCACAAGTCGTCTCTTCTTTTTTTTATTGTGAATTCAACTCGTTTTTAAATTAAGAATTGGATTTTTAACCCCGATTTCAACTTTTTATCCCAGTATTTACATTGTTTTTTGGATCCGAAGATTATTAACTAATAATTGATTGTCAATAATAATGGTGTCGACGGTATTGAACGGAAGCTCTGAGAGTCTCCGCGAGACGGAGGGCTCCAATGTGTTTGTGTTTGAGGACAAGGAGTACCACAACAACGTGTTGGACAATCTGAATATGTTGCGCAAGAATAAGCAGTTCTGTGATGTCATTCTTCAGGTATGTATTACTTACATGTCTTACGATTTTGGTGTTAGAAATAGTCACCCATTATTTGACTGAATGTTAAATCAATTAACATTTGGCGACCAATAGTGGGTTACAGTAATGACTGGATGGTGTGTATGACAAGACCTATCCCTTTATGGGTTTTGCTCAAAGAATAACACCAGTGATACTTATACTTCAAAGATAGCTTCAAATCATTTTGCCATTTACTCAATCGTGACATTATTTAAGTAATTGATTGATGCCTTTAATAGATTGGTAGCCATCAGGATATACATGAGATATACGCGCATAAAGTGGTGCTGTCGAGCGCCAGTCCATACCTACTGGAACTGTTCTCCAGCGACTCGACGTGTCCAACGGGTGTCCAACAGTACAAACTGTTGACCGGAAACTACGACATCGAGGCGTTTGACTGTATTATAGACTACGCCTACACCGCGCGGCTGGAAGTGCCCGTCGATAAAATCCGCGACATCTACGGTATCGCCAGTCGTCTGAAAATGAGTTCCATTGCCTACGAGTGCGGACAGTATCTGCTGTCTTCGCTGACGGCTGACAACTGTCTGAATATTAGGTCGATTCGCGGTGTACTGAACGATCAGTTCCTGTTGGGCTCTGTGGACAACTATATCCGCCAAAATATGCCTGAAATCGTTGAGAACAAGTGTTTGGACGCATTGGCCAAAGTGCAGGTCGAAGTGTTGGTCAACAGCGATGAGGAGAGAGCGGCCATCAATGAGCGCCACGTCTTCAATATGGTTCTCGAATGGATTCACACGTCGTTTGACAGAGAAATGCTTAATGTGACCAACATTTGCGAGAAGATGTATATGTTATTCATTAACAAATCCGATAAATGCCTTCACGATTGCAATGAGATTGAAAACGGAGGTAACGATGACTCGGATCTCATTCAGGACTACAAACGCGAATCACGGCGTCTCTCCT